AAAAAAAAAAAATAAAAATGTTTAAAAAAGTGTCTTACATACGTATTCGTTTGGTTGAGACAAAATACAAAAAAAATGTGAGAAAATAAGTAAAAGAAATAGAAGAAAAAGAAGAAGAAGAAAAAGAAGAGGAAGAGGAGTGTACGTCGGGCTACGTCGCAATGCGACGAAATTATGCGTCGACCTTGACTGTTTTACTCGCCTTTTCTCGTCGTCCCCACTCGGGAAACCAACCGATTGATTATCCTTCTCTCGTCTCTACTCGTTCCTTATAAACGAGCATTATTTATAACACGATGCGTGCATGCGCTTGCTAGCTAGCTAGCTAGCTTAGCGTTAACGTGCTTGATCATGCATACGACCGATCAACCGATCAACCAACCGCCATCTCGATATCTTTCTAGCCTTTCTGATGCTTCCATAACTCATGTGGTTTGCATTTTATTTAATGACACATCGCATAAACGTGCGACTGACTTCCAGAGTCAGTGAGAGAGAGAGAGAGAGAGAGAGAGAGAGAGAGGGGTGGGGGAAAGAGAAAATACGATATAATATATCTCTACCCCATCCGTTTCTTTTTATTATGATAATTGTTATTACGTGTTGACAACAAAATCTGATTGCAATGTTCTCTCATTCTTTCGTGGATTTTTTTAGATTTTGTTTTTTCTCTACGAATGACTGAAAGAATTATTATTATTATTATTATTATGCGATTGATTATAATTTTGAACAATTATTTAAAAATTGTTTTCATTATAATATATATATATATATATTTATCGTCCATATATTAATACAAATCAAATTTTATTCGCGATTAATAATATGCGAGAAGATTATTATATTATTACGTTATAAAATTAATTGTGATATTTTGTAATAATAATTTTGTTATTATATTATGAAATTTATATATTACGAAACAACGTTTTTGACAGTAGATTTTTTTACGTTCTAATAATCGGCTTTAGAAAAATACAAATAATAATCCAACGGTTTGTACCTTTTCAATTAACTAACTATAACTCGTGTATGTATTTTACTAGTACGTATACGTCGAACAATCGGTACGTAGTTTCCTCGCTTATTAGAATTCAAACGAGCGATTAAGAACTAGAAGAAAGAGAAAGATTTTTCGAGTGTTCACGCGTGAACAATAGACCGTCTGATTGGTGCTCTCTTTAGAATTAGAAACCCGAATTTTGCATTGTTCAAACTACGACCAGACGAAACAGCTGCAGCCAAAATCTTTTTTTTCCTTTTTCTCTTTTTCTTCTTTTTTGCCTTCTATTTCTCCCCTCGTTTCCTTCTTTTAAACCTCCTCTTCTTCTTCTTCTTCTTCCTTCGTTTTTGTTCGATTTCGAAAGACCACAATAAAAAATAATAAATTTCGACTTCCTTTGACTTTTAATTTTCTTTTTCATTTATATTTTAACCAAAATACGCTTAATTATATCAACGAAAAAAATTAAGAAATTAGAATTTAAACGAAATACACTTTGTAGTAAGTAGTAAAGTAATTATATGGACAGACGCACGCACCACTGTTCATTACGAATATACAAGTGTCTGATCTTGACCACTAACTACTTATGACTTTTCTTTTCATTTAATTTGACTTTTTTGTTTTTGTTTTCATTTAATTTTACTCATAAAATATGTGTATATATATATTTAATTATTTACGAGAAACGTCACAAAAAATATAATTGAGATGAAAAACATAACGTGGTAAGTAGAAATGGAAAATCACATGGGACAGGCGAATATGTAGGTGTCTGACCTTGAGGATTAACTACTTATGACCGATCCACGCGCAGACGCGGAAAGAAAGACTCGCGGCATTTTACTGTGTTTCTAAATTTATACACGCATATGTACATATGCAGTGGAACGAAGAATCTCGTGATTCTAAAATTGACAAAAGAAAAAAAAGAAAAAAAAAAAAGAAATATATATTTTTAACAGTCCTGTGTGTGCAACGCGTTATATATATATATATATATTTTCTTTTTCTTTTTATCTATGAACGAGATCGTGATATTATTAATATTTCATAGAGTATGTTTAACACACGTTTTTTTAAATAAAATGATATGCGAATTGATTTATACCAAGAGAGAATAATTAAAATGACCGAGATATATATTATATATTTCTTATTAAATGAAATAATATGCGTTCTTTTATCTTCGTATCGATAAATATTGTTGTTGTGTCTGGCTCGTTGTCTTCTACAATTTTTGATCGTAGCAAACACGTTCAGATAAAAATGTTATTATGTAAAGTTTGATTACGTTACATCTCAAAATAAAGAATTAATTAATATAGATTATATATATATATATATACTTCACATAAAAATTCGATAATACAAAAAAAGGGAATATAAAAAAAAGATTATAAAAGAGGCAGCCAATTATCTCGATAGTACTTGAATTCCTTAGAATATTAATCTTACATCGCGAGTATTATCGATTTTCGAATCTCGCTACGTTGGAGGTTGCAGCAATATAAGAAGACCATATTAAACAAATATTTTGTAATATTTATACATCGTCTAACAAAAATTTGTCTAATGAATTTTATTACAACGTTTTGATGAGAGATTCTCTATATATAATAATTTCTTTTTTTTAATATATCTCTGGAGTTTAAAGTTCAAGTATATATATACATACTGTAAGTCAAATACTTTAGATTAAATCGGTTTAAGTATATAAGTGCTAAACAAAATTATATTAGCATTTATGCAATTTTTCTTTTAACATACTTTGTAAATCTTTTTTTAACATTTAAAGTATATAGGATGTGATAAGATAAAAGGGCCCGATATTTGAAGGGTTTTGTAAGAGTACTCACCAAGATAAATCCAAAATGTTTTAACATATGTCCTAAAATCAACCTAAACCTAAAATTAGAACATTTTTCTTACAACATTTGTAAATCAAAAAAAAAATTACATTAATATCTATAAAAGTATACTTTATATTCAATTTTGACAGAATATATCTTATTTTTAAAAATTATTGTAAAAACAATGTACAATAAACGATATAATATAATTATCTATATATAATCTCTCTCTCTCTCCATATGGTTTATAATAAATATTTAAATTTAATATTTTTTTTTTTAATGGGGCGAAGATTTGATCAAAAGAAGAAAACAATTTGCAAAATTTATTGTGTGGAAATAAATTTTGTTCAAATCAATTTATTTTTCTCATCTCGTCACACTGTTTGTATGCACATGCATTAGAAAATTGAATGAAACAATTAATTAATCCCTCTGACGAGCAAGATATTACAAAAAGAAAACAAGATAGAAAAAGGGATCTACGAGATGATGTTGACACGATCAAAGATAGAGGAATACTGAAGGGGATTGTGCAAACGACGATGAGAACTCGGGGTCGAAAGCACGAGGAGTTTCTGTTTTGTTTACGTCTAACGTAAACTCTAAGGTCGTTACACCGGACATGCATACACGCTTTCGATTTTACTTTGAAATGCCGACTTTTAAAGCGTTCTTGTTAAAAAATATAAAACAAAATATAAAAATCCATCCAGATCGTATTATACGAACGCGTAAACATTTTCACATATATTTTTCATATCGGACACATTTTTTCGATTCAAAATATTATTTTCTTCCCCCTTCCTTAAACGTACATTCTTGTTCTATAAATTTATATTACAAATTACTCATTAAACGTATATACAAGAAATTAATATTTTTGTTTTTTTTTTTTTAATAATAATAATTATTATTTTTATTACGAAATATTTTTGTATTGTATGCGAGTGTACTCAAAAACAATGTTTATTAATACACGAACTGATTCAGATTTGAAATACGATCGAGCTTCTTTCCTTTCCCTTCTCTTCCTTTCTTTCTCTTCCTGTTATTTCTCTTTCTATCCCACCACACAACTTCAATGTGCTCACACGGTAGAGTTAAAAGAGATAGAGAGAGAGATGGAGAGAGAGAGAGAGGGGGATAGAAAGAAAGAGTGAGAAATGGAGGGAGAAGACGACTCACCCGTTTCGGCCATGCACTAGAACTTGACTCCTAAGCTCCTCGTCGACTGCAATGTAATGCAAGCTCTCCCTCTCCCTCTCTCTCTCTCTCTCTCTCTTTCTCTTTCTTTCCCTCACACATTTGCATCTTCTCTCTTTCTTTATAAATGCATGAACCGTACGCTTGTAACACGAAGAGGAGTTGCTCGCTACTGAAAACAAATAAGAAAATGCGATGCATACGCAAACTCAATATGATGATCTTCGAATAAAATGCATTTTCGTTGCAACGAAAGAGAACAATAATTACTTTAATTTCAATAAAAAACGAACGAAACTTACAATATAGTCGTTAGCTAAGGGGGAATGTGTTAGAAACGGGCAAACGATGTTATAAGAGTAAACAAAAAAAATAATGCTAAAGGTAAAGATAAAAAAAGAAAGAAAGAAAGAAAAAATAGACAATATACCGTAAGAAAAAGTTATTCGAAAAAGTTTAATAAAACGAATATACGAAAGGAAAAAATAATAATGTACGGTCCCTTCTCTCTCTCTCTCTCTCTCTAAAAAAAAAGTCTCGACAAAATAATAATAGTAAGAAAGAGAATGATATAGCCAAAAAAGAAAGGAAGAATGAGTGAGAGAGAGAGAAAGAAAAGCGTGGGTGTGCAAGTAGAGATGGAACGTTACTAGTCGGGCGGGACTGTCCCCCTTCCCACCCCCTCTTATTCGTCCTCGTAATTCCCTCCTCCTCCTCCTCCTCCTCCTCCTCCTCACTTCTTGCTCGACTACCTCCTCCACCACCCCCTCTCTAACATCAATTCCCCTCCCCACATCCAGGCTATGTCCTCCTCCAACTCCTCCACCTTCTCCACCTCCTACCCCTCCCCCACTCCCCCTCCNCCACCCTACCCCACCCCCTACCCCCGTTAGCCTTCATGCTCACGCTCACATGCAACAGCAGAGAGGCAGACCGGCCGGCTGGCACTCGGGTGCCTTTAGCGCCGTGCATCTCCGAGTCAGTCAGTCGGTCGGTCGGTCTCTCGGTCGGTTCATTCGTTGAAGCTCTCCTTGCTTCGTAGAAACAACGAACACGCGAAGTGTTGTTTTCCCCCTTTTTAAACCCCTTTCCCCACGTTAACGCCCCCCCTTTCCCACCTGTCCTCCTACAATCATCACGTTATAACGTTTTATCTTAACGTGTAAACATTATCGTTTGTATTATTTAAATTGCGATTCATAGGTATTACTTCGTAAATATTTTTTAGGGTGAGAGTGGGATGGGAAGGGATGGGATGGGATGGGATGGGAGGTAGGGTGTGGAAAAATATAATAGGTGTATGTATATATATATTATACGAAGTGCATTAATTGTATAGGAAAATATTGACGCGTATTGTTTGATTTTTTTTTGTACTTTTTTGTTAATATCTTTAAATTATTTTAATATTTCGGGAATATAGGATATAGTGTGTTAATATTAATGTTAATTTAGATGAAAGATATTATTTATTCTTGGTGCATTCGTTCGATCTAAAATTGATCTGTGTTAGTTTAATTTATTTGTTTATTTTGTTGGTTTTTCTATTAAAATTCTTGTATAAATCTGTGATCGTTTAAAAAGGTGACAAGTTTGATAAATAAGTAAATTTTAATATTCTAATATATATGATATGTGTATACGTAAAATGCATTTATTTTATTTAACGTATAAAGTGCTAGATTATATATTTTTGTTTAATTTTCTAATAAATATTATTTAATATCTGAAATTATTTAAAAATAGCAAATTTCAGAATTAATGCTCTGTGTCTATGTATAACATTCATACATATACTTTTAATGTACATAATATATATATATATCTAAATATAAAATAACGAAAGGAAAATTGCAATGATATATATGCATTCGTATTTCTATAAATAATTTCAAATTAATATTATTTCTGTTTTTTGTTAAACTTAAAAAAAAAAGAAACATTCTTGATTATCGAATCGAAAACACTATTACGATATTCTCTTAGCTTAATAAAATTGTGTATATAAAGCTACGCGTACGTGTGGGTGTTGGTTTATATGTGTGTATATATATATATATATATTCTCGTTGCACTAGTCACGGTCAGTCAGAAAGGTTTCGTGATTTCAATCGTGAAAGATACGTGTGCATTTATCACGAGTGATATGTTGTTGTTACATTCGAAACGATCGTTTGTTACTCTCGTTTATTCTTTAAGAATATTTAAAAAAAATGTAATGTAAAATAATAGAATAAAATAATAGAATAAAATAATAGAATGATTTTAATTCTTACACGAGATAGAAATAATACGAGATATGTGTGTAGAGAATTCACGACGAGAGTGCATTCTGATTTGGACGTCGCGTTGTTTTTATCTAGAACGAACTTTCGCGTGACAGTGAGAACTGTCTTTCTCTCTCTTTGAGAGAAGATATTTTTTATTTTGATTTTCTTTTGTCAAAATTTATTTTTTTTCTTCATCCTCTTTTTCCTCTATATAAATTTTCTTTCTCTCGCGTGGAACTTTACAAACGTCGCGTGTACGTATGTTAAAAGATAATTTGCAAGATGCTGGGACGATAAGCAATTCCAGATGATTCTCTCTTTGTAAACGTTTTACTGAAACGTTCGCTGCTGCTACTACTACTAATACTAATATACTACTACGACATTTAGTTCTTCTCTTATACTTCGAAATCCTTTTATGTCGTATATTCGATTTACGAAGTAAAGGAAAAAATAAACAAATCACTGAGAAATAATAACGTAAGAAGAGAAAAATAACAAGAGGGGGGAGGGGTGGGAGACAATTTACAGGTTCTTTCCAATCATCTGTTATTACGTGTTACATTTTTTCTTGTCTCCTTTTAAGAATTCATGAAAAAAATGTTCACGCGCGAAAGTGTTAACTTTTTTACAAATCTTAAAATAAATTCGAATGACTTCGTTTATTTTCATTTACTTCATTAATAATAATGAATTAACACGCGTTACGAGAAATTGGATGATCGTTCTCGAAGGATCTAGTTATTAAATTTACTTTGATTCATTTTTCGGGCTGCCAGATGTCCTTGTTTGGGGCTCATAAAACGAACAACAAGAAAAAACATATAAAAAGTATAAAAATGGCCGTAAAAGGGATCAAAACTTGTGCGGTTACTTCCATTCACGGCATTTTGCGACGTGCATCTTGCTACTCCTCGAATGTATGTAGTAACGATGATTATGATGATGATGATGATGATGATGATGACGGTGATGATGGTTATGGTGAAGTAGCAGTAGCAGTAGTAGCAGCAGTAGCAACAGTAGCAGAGTAGCATTAACGTGGCGCACGTGTGTTGCGCATTCTACGATCCGATTGGTTAAAATGCAAGTAACCTTCGCGGATAGTTGAGGCTCGTTGTTTAAAATCAATGCTCTCAGATGACATTCAACGTGAATCTCACGCAATGCCGTACCTTCCAATCGTAGTTTCTATCTCGTTTTAATTATTTCTTCTTATTTTTCGCTGTTCTTATTTTTCTGTTTTGGTTTTTTTAAATTCTTTTTTTCTCCAAGAGAATTGATCAAAAAATAACAAATATTTAATTCAATTGATAGGTGATTTTATGTGTTGTGTGTTGTGTATGTGCGTGCGTGTGTGCGTGTGTGTTTGTCTCGAAGAAATTTGTTTGATTTTATTATTTTCCTACTTTCATTTTATTTTCCCAAAAATATTTCTTAAAAAATTCAACATTTTTTTAAACGTGACTAATAATAAATTAGAGTGAAGAATTTGTTCTAATTGACAAAATGATTGTGCGTATATACGCGTTTGTGTTAATGTTCAAGAATGCAATAAAATAAATTGCACGTTATTATATCTCATTTTTATTTGAATTACTTCTTCTATGAAATAATCTTCGTCGTTTCGATCTATCGTCATCACGAATCATAGTGGATTATTACGATACACGATCGTACTTTCTGAAGTTACACGTTTGATAGTTCCTCGTTGACTGTCGGGAATCTTAACGACACAGTAGTAAAGGTCTCCCGCTTATGACCGTCAGGCATGTTCCTTTATTTTTTCTACCCTCGTATTTGTGATGTTACCCGTTGATAGTTTCTTCGAGATTGTTAACTTAAATTTATGATTCTATTTATTTCTATCATGGATGTAATGTAATTTAATCATTAACGTAATTCGTCAATTCATTCGAAATTTATTACGAAAAAAATAATAAATTCTCCCACCCCCTCCCATAAAATGAAAATCTTTAAAAACTATCTGAAAAATTGTTGGGAAAAAAAAATGAGTCGATTAAAAACGATCGAGTAGAAAAGAGATTTCAGAAATATAAAAAAAAAGTGTTTTAAAATTATGAGAATAAGGGGAGGGGGAGGGCGACAAAAAATGAATCGATTAAAAATAACGATGAAGATTAAAATAACAACTCCGGTGAGATGAAAAATTTTCTGTGAAAAAAAAAAAGAAAAAAATCTCTGCAAAAATTGTTAGTAGTAAGATTTGAAAGAGGATAAATAATAAATAACGTTTTGAAAAGGATGACACAAAAAACTTAGCGAAAAAATAAATCTTTCTTAAACATTGAAAAGAAACGACAAAAATATATGAGAGGGGGGGTGTGAGATTATAGAAAAAGAACTGGCAATCGAGACATTTTTCTCTCGCGTTGTCGTCACAGAGAGAGAGAGAGAGATAGTAAAAGAGTAAAAGAGTAAAAGAGATAAAAAGAATAGATAGCGATGATAGAAGAGAAGAGAAGAGAAGAGAAGAGAGGAGTGAAGTGGAGAGAGAGATGAAAAAGGAGAGAATATCAGGCGTGCAGTCTGGCCAGCTCGTTGCCAAATTCAGTCTAGGTCGTTTCTGCGCAGTTCCCTCGAGGTCAGACAAGAACAGAGAGAAAGAACATTTTACGTTGATATAGACAATACATTTTCCCTCGGTTATAAAACGTACCACCACCTCTTGGTGCGAGAAAATACGTTACGTTTTTATCCTTTCTCTTTCTATATATATATATAGAATTTTTTTTCTATTTTTCTAT